CAATCCCCTCCTGTGTAGTGAACTTAACCTGAACCAGCTTGGTTCAGTACGCACAGCAGGGTGACTGTGGAGCATCTGCTTGAGCCACAGAATCAAGCTCATCCCTCCACAGTTTGCCCTTCGGCTGCGATAAAGAATGGAAACTAGTGGAGCTCAGTAAGTGCTAACTACCTGGGCCAGCCAGGAACAGTTAAAATACACAGGTGCTCAGTTGAGCGTGGGGAGCTCAGTGGCCTTGCAGTTTAAAAGCAGTGGGTACTTTCAGCTCACCGGTTTGTACAGACATCGTCCCACCACAGCCCTGCCTCCAGAGAGAAAAGATTACCTCTGAAGTAAGAGACTATGTTTGGAAGGTTAGGGCTGCCTTCGAGAAGCCTGGCGTTCAGAGGAACAGACACTGCAGGTGCAGCAGGAGTAGTCCGGGCTACACACTCAGGCTCTCTTCTCAGGCTGCTGGATGAGATTAAAGCGTTCCTTCTCTTCTGGGAAAGAGTGCAACCTACAAGGCGAGGCCAGGTTATGAGGCAGTAGACATCCCATCAGGAGGAGAGGGCCATCCTCCCCACTCAGTCAGAAGTACATCCCTGTAGGCCAACACTTGATCAGACGTACTCAGCACAGTTCTTGTTTTTGTCAGAGACTCTTAAGTGAGTCATTCATGGCATCTTCTTCATTAAATGAAAAAGTTCCAGTATGACGCAAACTGGCAAAAAATGAAGCAGTAGAAGTTGCCAGTTCAGTTTGATTCTAATAACCCCACCGAAATTTTTCTTGGGTGCTTTCACCCAAGTCTTCAATAAATGAAAAACACAATGTAACAAATTTCCCTGAGTCAGAAATGGTGTAGTGGGAAAAAATATGAGGTTTAAAGATGAATTGGATATCAAGTTCTGGTTCCACTGCTTGTTTTTTGTGTTCCACGGGCAAATAACTAGACCAGTCTTCAGACCTGAGCCCTACAGGTATGTGTAAGCCCCTAGCCAGCACCTCAAACATGGCAGACAGTTGATCCCTGATGCTTGGTATCACCCTTACTACTGAGGTAACAGCTTCTGTGGTGGGCAGGTTGGCGGGGAAGCCTTCTCCTGACTGGCCCCTCCTGCTGTGGACCATTCTCTGCCTCTTTTTTTACCACAGGTTGGAGCACAGTGAATGGGACTCTGCCCGGACTCCTATCATTGGCTCCTGTGGCACTCAGGAGCAGTCGCTATTAATAGACCTTACAGGCAGCAGCTGTCGCAGGGTAAGAAGAGAAGGCGGGGGTGGGGTGTTCTCAAACAGTTGGGCTCTTAGCAGACAGAGGGAGTGTGGAAGCTCAACCACAGAACAGGTCTAGGCCACAGGGAGGGTGGAAGACTGGAAGAACCTGGTGTGGGATTTTCTGGGTCACTTGACCCTGAGGAGACTCTCCCAAGATACCTCTATACTGTGGTGGTGGGATTAGCTTTGCTTATATGCAACATTACTGGGGAAGGAAAGTGGTTTATCCCTGTAGGGTAAAACTCTGACTTTCAAATTTTCTTTCAGACCCGGAGTGGTGCTGGATGGAAGAGGGTCCTGCGGTCACTCTGTCATTCCCGGACCCGAGTGCCGCTGCTGGCAGCCATCTACTTTCTGATGGTTCATGTCCTACTCATTCTATGTTTTACAGGCCATCTATAAACTTAGTTTTCACTTTTTGGACTATGCCCCTCAGAACTTGGAATTCCCTCATCTCTAACATCAGAACTGTCAGTTCCAGTGGAACAGTCTTCCCCTTTACAGTCATCTCTCCAACTCTGCACAGAAAGTGCCTGCAGAAACAGAGGTAACTATGAGGATAATTGGAGCAACAGGGTCTGATGTGTCTGCTTTCCTCTGCTGCCCAGGGCCTGAACATGTCTGCTTAGTCTGAGAACCGTCACAGTTGGCTTGTTGAGCACAGTATTTGTTCAGATTTTGCTGGCCTTTTTAGTCCTATAAGATACTGAGACATGTATTTCAGCCATACCGAGAGGATGATTCTAATAAACCTAATAATCTGAAGCCCAGTATCATTTTCATTGATAAGTTTCTTTACCTCATTTTCCTGTTTTTTTTCTCCTGCTTCATGGGGAGGGTAAACAGTTTACCTGGGGAGTGAGCATACCTCTTCATAGCACGGTAATTAGATCTCTTGAGCATAGATGGGAATTGAAGAACTCGGGGCTTTTAGCTGTTGGATCCCAGGTGAGGTCAACATCATCTTCTCTCACTGTCCTGACACCTTTGGAGGGAGTTTGTGGTCCTGGGCTGTAAGGACAGGCTTCTATTGCCTGTGCTCTTAAATGCATGTAGAGTAAGTTGTTAAGTAACCCATGCCTTTCCTTTGAAAGGCAGGAAGGACTGGCTTTGGACATCAAGGTTCAGATACTTCTCATTTCTATTTGGATATACCTCAAATGTAGCCCAGTGCCAGGGGCCAGCAGGAGCCAGTGCAAGGTGCAGTGTTGACTCCAGCCAGGAGTGGGACTGGTCTGATGACCACATTGTAACTCCTGGCCTCCTGAAATACTAAGGTCCTGTGCTGTTGGCAGCAGTTACTCCAGTTTCTCAGCCCATGGTTATGTACCCTCTGTTGCTAAGGAAATGGAAGGAGAATGTAAAGAAGACAAAAATTTAAAACCAGACCTGAGAACACCAGCAGGGAGTGAATTCCATTTGTGCCTATTCTTTATCTCCTCTCCCCTCGACACCACTCCTACCAGATGACTATTTTCTCATTACCTACATGATACATTCCCTGCCTGTTCTTACCACCCAGAGAAGATGGAAGACGGGGCTCACTGGTCTGGTAGAAGCCTTGTTCTGTGGTGAAGAAACCTTAGACACTGCATTCCAAGAACTTCCCTGAACAACTGTAAAAATAATAAAATTATTTTTCAGAATGAGTTGTGTTGTGCGTGACTGTGGGTAGACAGGTGCTTATATAACTGTGTTTGCAGATTGAGGGGATGAAGGTGGGGGCAGATTTGATATGTGAAAATGATTACAGGGTGAGAAAGCTTTACAAACTCAGGCTTCCTGCTTGCTGACCAACACCAGTAATGGCTACAAGCATCCCTGTAGCCTTAGCTGCTGGACTTCTGGAAAATGAAGTACAGTAAAGAAATCCCATCCTAATACTGAAGCAAATGAGTTTTGTTTTAGGGAAGGAAATCCATGCCACTTCTAGTGTATAAGTATACACAAGAGAACTCTCGAGAGCATTATGTGCCTGGGAATGGAGAAAGGGAAATTTAATAGTAGCACCTAGCAGATTAGATAGGCATTAATGTGTTTTTATGGTAAGTTGCTGCTTGGGAAAAGCTGTCCCACTTTCCAGGTACAGTAAGTCAGTTTATGCAACCTAGTATACATGGTTTCAAAGCCCATGCAGTGTCTGCATCTGTACCTCACTACCTCATAAGGAACAAACTTAGGACTTTCGCAAAGGACAGTTGGGGTTTCCTAGAATCATTTCTGATTAATTTTGATGCTTTCTCCAGAGAACTTTATTCCTGTCTGGTTTGTCAAAATTGTCTGATAATTCTGATTTTGACGATTAGAATTCCATATATACTAAAAGATTCTTTCCCTTTCTATAAATTTACTCTCCCTTTAAATAGCTTTGGTGCTACTGCGATGAATAGGTAATGAGGTAGGTGAGAACAAATAAAACTTCCCCAAGCATAGAATCCTTAGATTTAGAAGCAGCCCTAGGAACTGGTACCAATGCAGAAATTTTATCATCTGTATTGTTGATATCCAGTCCTGCTTGGGCTCTGATCCCTCAGGTCAGAATTCCACAGGCAGTTACAAATACCCACCACCACCACCACCAGTTCCTGCTAGCTAAAACAGCAAGGGATTATTTTTCAGTTAAAGACTCCCATTTCTTCACACGATGACCTATAGGAAAAGTGACAACTTGTGTCACCCTCTTTGTCACTCATCTCCAAGCTGCCAGAGGAGCGAGTCTGAAGAATTATAGTTTGCCTCCGTGGGCAGTGAGAGAGGATTGTAGAGCAACCAAGGAAGGACAGTGGACCTAACACGAAAAGGGAGCCAGTTCACCAGCAGAACAAGTGACCTGACCAAGTCTGACTTGAAGAGGGCAGGGAGGGGCCACGAGTCTGGATGTACAGTGTACAGGACACCATAAAGACCGTCCATCAGATCCTAAGCACCAGGTTCAGACTTCTCACTTCTGTAATAAGCCAGATCTGCCAATGAGCTCAGGGTGTGCAGCCCCCTAACAAGCTGGGATCCTTTTTCCCTCCACATCATGCCTCCCCTCATGAGTCCTCTTTCCTGTCATTCAACTGGTCAATATTTTTTGGACATCAGCTATATGCAAACTTCACTTTTTTTTTTTTTTTGGTACTGGGGATCAAAGCAGGCTTCCCCTGCCTACAAACCTCACTTTTAACTGCTGTGGGTAATATAGTAGTGGGTTGGTTTATTTGTTTTATCTGTTTTTATGTTTTAGAAGCAAATTTTGAAAATCCCAAGAAGTCAGTTGAAAATTTGTCTACAAAAGACAGTTCAAACAAACAAAAAATTATTACAGCTTCCCAGACCTCCATGACTCAATTTTCTTCTATTTGCCTTTTGTTCCCCATTTAGACCATCCATCTTTGAGAATTTATCCTCCAGGCATGGCAGTATGTGCTTAGAACCCTCTCTGGAAGGCTGAGGCAGAGGATCACAAATACAAAAGAAGTGGGTTTGTTTTAAAAATCTTTCCCCCAAAATTCACATATGCTTTTCCTACTAAGCTTTTCTCGATTACTAGAGCTCATAACAAATCTCTGAATTCCTTTAATATCCCAAATGCAGTTGCCTACCTATTCACAATAAATCCAGTGCCGCAGCATTTTCTAATATGTTTTCTGGTCTGATGTCTATTTCTCTGGCCCCAATTACAAACTGAGTGAGAGCAATCTTTTTTATGACTGCCCCATCACTCTCAACCTAGCAAAAGACTAGGACAGAAACATTTAACCCCTGTGGTTCAAGTGCCTAAGGCAGGAGGAACTGACTCAAACTTCAGGAAGTTGCTGTGAGGACAGAGTGACAGGAAGTGACAGAAAACCTCAACACGGAACTGAAGCAGCCATTCAGTTTCTTGCTGTGAAGTGGCAGCAGCCAGAGAGGGCACCGGGTGTGGACGTGAGGAGCTGGGAGCTTAGAACAAACTCGCACACTAGAGGTGGGTACTTGAGTGGTGGGAGACTTGGGAAGCACAGATAAGAGTAGAAGAACTTACCTGGCACTTAGTCCTTCAGGAGGAACAAGTTCACTGCTTTAAAGCTTTGAAACCCAGAAGGCTCCAGTGCAGTGGTTATGGCGAATGCACATCTGAGGATGGAGATGAGGGAAGGACTCTACCCCAAAAAGCAGGCTTCAGAGCCATCTAGGCTGCCAGCTCCAGCAAAGTGTTCCTGGCTTCTTCTGACAATCTACTGCCTACTGTAAGGGCTGCCACTCCTCCACACTGAGCTGAAGGAGAACCACAGGAGATAGAGATGGACTGCGCTTGGGGAAGAGCACAGGGTCTAGCAGGGAGGTGCATGCACAGAGGAAGTGTAACAGAGCAGGAAGTAGTCACTGATGCACACTAATGCGAGGACCAAGTGCGGGCATGATCGCTGAGCTGGGCTGGTTTTCATGACTGTACAATCACACAGTCCAAGTGTTAGAAGTAGAGGGCACTTTACAGACCAGCTAGGGTGACTGACCCCTTCGTTTATTTTCCGCTGAGGAAGTCAGAAGTAATCAGTGATTTTCCAGATCTTTAAAGTTAATATTTGTGAGTAACCTAGTCTGGTCCCCTGCGAAGGAGTACATCCTCTGTGTTGATTCCATTACCATGGTCCACAGAGGCCTGGTCCCAGCTTGGGAGGTTTCTGGCTCTCCTGGCTCCCAGTCTGTGTGCTACACTGATACTGCAGGTCAGCTTCGTGCCTGGGCACCACGCCTCACTAGTCTCTCACTTCTAGGCAGCAGTCTTGTCTTCTTGATTTCTGGTCAGTAGGTAAAAGACATTAACGTAAGAGGCCTCTTTGTCAGAAAATTTCCTCTTTATTTCAAAAATGGGTGAAGGTAAGAGGTTGACGGGAGAATAAGGCTGAGCAGCAGGAAAGATGAGACTATGAGTCCTCGTTGCTTCCCTATTATTAATGAATATTTCAAACTTCTCCTTTAAAACTTTCTGTGTGGGTTCCTGTTGTTGCTGAGCAGCCCTGAGAGAATCAGGAACAGTAGGAATGCAGGATTACTGGTCTTGGCTACCTATCCCCACCCCTCATCCATAGCTGTTGCCCAGCAGAAAGGCAGAGCTGCTCTGGGGCTAGGCGGACATGCTGTCCACATTTCTCCAGTGTTCCCTGTGGCATCTCATTAGTCAGCCTACTCGGACTTTCCCTTGGGCTAGATTTCAAGGTATTCAAACATCGAGGAGGAGCACGGAGTTTCCAAGTAGAAACAAAGAAACTGAGGGCCTAGGTAGAGAGACAGGACAGCCCTAGGACTGGCTAGCTATAAAGAATCTCGTTTAGGTGAGAGTGAAGATTAGGGGAAGACCTCCAGTGGGAGGAGCTATCTGAAAAGGGAGGGAAGGAGGGAGGGCAGGGAAGCTGCCAGCTAGCAAGGGTCCCTGGGCCCGCAGAGCAGATGAGCATTGTCCATTCTAACTTCCTTCAAGATCAGGAGCCCACAGACACAGAGCAACTGTGCAGCTCTTAGGCACAATTGGCAAGACTGGAAGGGACACTAGGGCTGCCTCAGCAGAGTAACAGCGTGAGACCTTTTTATACTCCAAATATTTCTTTAATGCTTATTTGTCTGATAAAAATCAAATACCTCCTGATTTTTAAAATAAGAGATATGGTATGTGCTATTTGTGAACCCACTTATTGTCTTTAGAAATATAATTTTGCTGCGTTTTAAATTGACTAATAAATGACTTCTTCCTAGCAAATGCTGTTTTCCCATTGTTCAGTGTAGGGATTTCAGCTGGCTGTCCCAACCGACTACCCACACCTGTGCAGGGGCCTGAATCAGAGTGGCTGAGGACAGCTCTCGAAGTGAGAGTTGGAAAAATTCTCAATATGGTTTAGTGAAGTAGGTTGTGGACAGGAAGGAAATGTTTGCTTTGTCAGGAGCTAGACTAATTTTTATTTGTATGGCTTGGAATGAAGTAATATGTAGAAATTTGAGTGAAATGGTGCTTTAATTCTGCGGCTGTCACAGCACCTGTTGCTGGTGCCACCACTGCAAGCCCCTGCCTGGCTGACCTCTGGACCCAAGTGAACAGTCCCAGCAGTTCTCTCACCGATTATTTAGTGTGACCTATGGCTCTGAACACCTCTGTTCAGATTTAGGTGGGCCCAGGCCCCTATGTCTTAAATAAAGCCCATCTTTTCTCCTCTGGGTGCTTTTCTAAAACACCTACCTGCTATGCCTCAATCTTCTATTTTCTTCTAAGAAAAAAAATGGCAGGAGACATTGGATTGTTGTGTCACTGACTTCAGCATTTTTGACTTTTCTCCTCTTCATTCCTTTTTGGCCCCTATTATTCCCATCTTCTGTCACCCTCAGATGTGGAAGTCTGTGGTGGGGCATGATGTGTCTGTTTCCGTGGAGACACAGGGTGATGATTGGGACACAGACCCTGACTTTGTGGTAAGTGTGGAAGTAGCTTAGCTTGGACAGAGAGGGTGTGGGGAGGGAGGGCACCTGGTTCCCTCTGTCTCCTCTGAAGGGGCTTAGAAAAGGACCACCTGGGACTGAGATAGCCCTTGTGGAGGCATAGGTCAGTAGGACAGTTGGCTGTTGTGCTGGGACATGTATGATAGCTAGTGTTAAGGATGGAAGGAGAGGAGACAGTTATGGACAAGTTCAGCAGTGTGGTTGACAGGCTATGACAGGCTATCCTGAAGGCGAGCAGCAGGTAAATCTAGCTCTCCTTTGGCCTGTGACCCAAGATTTGGGCTGCATGTGTGTGATCTGGGTAGGCTGCGATCTTGTAGGAAGGGGAAAGTGTGAAGGATGCAGAGTAGTAACAGAGGTTTCAAAACTCACCCATTTAAATTTTACATGGGATCAGTGTGCAAAACCCCTGCCTGGCGCAGGGTAATACAGGGGCCATGTTTGTCAGTTTTATGACCCTTTGAGCATGGCACATTTCTTGTTAAATTATGTCTTTTACAGAATGACATCTCCGAGAAGGAGCAACGGTGGGGAGCCAAGACCATCGAAGGCTCTGGACGCAAAGAGCACATCAAGTAGGTGTCAGAGGGTAGGGCCAGGATGGTATTTGGAAAGCACAAAGAAAACAAAAAAATCAGGGGAATATGCAGGAGGAGAAAGAGGATGGTTCATGTCTGTGTGTTCGTTTCTTTTTTCCTCCGAAAGTTTGTTTCCATGGGTCCCTGTGTGTGTTGTGTGGATTCCCATGTCATGTCCCTCCTCTTATCCTCTAAATGTATTATCTCTCTTTTATATCTAACATTCTGTTATTTTCCCAAGGTAGTCTATTATAGTGACTGCCTCCCTTTCTTCAGTCAGTCATGAGAGAGTCAGAGAGCAAGTAGCTCAAATGCTAAGGTTGTATCTACCTACCTAGCTACCTAGCTACCTATCAACCACTGTTCTCATCACATAAATACAAATATCTGCTTAGAATGCAGTGACTCCACATGGGCTAAGAAGGGTTCAGTAGGATGTCATGGTGAGGAATTCAGAATAAATGCTGTGGGTTTTTTTTTTTTTTTTTGAGACAGGGTCTCACTATGTAGTTGAGATTGAACTGGAACTCACTTATGTAACCCAGGCTGGCCTCAAACTCACAGTGATCCTCCTGCCTCAGCCTCCCAAGTGCTGGGATTACAGGCATGCACCACCACGCCAGGCCAGAATAAATGCTGTGAAGGGAACAATATCAGCTCTCATACTTGCCCAAGTGATTTAAAATGCAAATTTGTACTTGGCTACTTGGCAGAAGTTGGAAGACATTATAAAGAAATAGGACACTTCGAAAACCTGATGATTAAAACAACATAAGCAGTGATGCTGGAGTTTTTAAGTCCAGGGTTCATTTTACCAGAAACAAACAACCTCTGGTATTACAGAGGAGAAACTCACAGACATGTAGGGGTTTCTGCAGGATGCATTGTGTATTTGAATGGAGAAGTAGCCTCTTCGCTTCCATGGATGATTCAACTCATCTAACCTGGACTGTCTGCTTTGCTCCATTTTATACCACCCCACCCACCCCACCCCCCTTACACCTACCCACAGCGACATCTTAACTTCTTTTTCACAAAAAGGATCAGTGGATGCTCCATTACATGAGCAACATAGTAACAGAGCTGGGCATATATTTGTGAAGTGTTAAAATGTGTAATACTATACATGATTGCTTAACCAGACATAACTATTTTGAATTTTATATCTGTAATAAAAAAATATTCTTTTTTTTTCTTTTTTTGTGGTACTAGGGATCAAACTGAGAACCTTGAGCTTGTGTGGCAGGCACAGTGCCACTGAGCTAAATCCCCGGCCCTAATAAAAATTATTTTTTTAATAAAATCATTCTTAACCAAGGAGTTCTGGAAGCAGTTGGGTGACAAAACAAAATGACTGAGTCTTTTAAAAAGCTTCTTTGATGCTCATCCCATGATAGACTCTGTAGATGTTTTTTTAAAGGCCTCTTTTCCTTTTTCTTTTTTGAGTCAAGGCCAGTCAGTTTTAGGCTCTTGAAAACTATTAGGATAAGGCTACATCCTGTACCTTTCTCTCTCGGTGTTGTCTCTTGCATGGTAGATAGCAGTAAAACATTCTAAAGATTTCGGATCCTACCAAGAATGTATAGAGAGGAGCTTGTGTTTGTATTTCAGGTAGATTTAGATTCATTTACACCCACTGCTAACTATGTGAACACAGACCCAGAAACTCTGTACATCTCACCTTATCAGTGGGAATTATGACAGCTACCCTGCAGATTCAAGATTAGAACTAAGAAAAATAGCATATGTCACTGTCTCCTATAGGACTCAGCCCTTGGCTATTCAATGATATTATTTACCTTTCCTGTTAATATAGATTAGATTCATCGAGTTTCCTTCTTAAAAGCCTAATATAAACATGCAAGCAGGGGATGGGCTTTCTTCTTCCTAAGTGATATTTACACGGACTGCCATGTTGCAGGACTCTACTGTGTACATCACTGTGACTGGTGTCCCTAAAGTTGTATAAGGCATTGATCCTGTGTATCTCCTTGTAAACCTAACTGGATCTGTAACCATTGAGAAGAATCATTGAAGATATTTTCACAAAAGCTTACTCACTTACCCGGCCTACAAATATGTCAAAGACTCATCTCTGCTGGCTTCAGGCCAGACCACCTTGGCCAAATCTCTTATCCTCTCTGATCCTTGGTTTCCTTATATGTTTCAAAGAGATCCCTAAAGGTTAGACCAGGATTAAATCTCTAATCTTCCCGGTTCTCTCTAGCTACTGTGAGCTAAGCTGACTTACTTCACGGTTGGGTGGGAATCACTAAGGCCTTTGAAACAAAGAGGGAAGTCAGGGAGAAGACTGTAAGGCAGTTGCTGAACTGAAATGACTTAGAACAGGAAAAGGAAGTGACAGGTTCTCATTAAGCTTGCTACCTTCCTCCACACCACAATGTTTTTTTAGGTCTGTCATGAACAAATTTAGACTGTGGAGATGAGCAGAGGATCTGGAGGAAGGGAAATGAGAGGGAGGGGAGAAGGGGAACAAATAAAAACACATCCATCCCTCATCTGTTGTGCATAGAAACAAAGTACCTGAGATTCCAGGCCTGCAGCCCTTTTCTCCACCTTCCTCTCCACACCCTTGCTCATTCATTTTCTTTGATGTCCTTGCTTATAAAGATAAAAGACTAAAGATCTTTATCACTCTCTGACAGTACTTATGTAGATAATTTTTGTCTCTCTTTCTTCTTTCTTTCTCTTTCTTCCTTTCCTTCTTTCTTTCTTTCTTTCTTTTTTTTTTTTTTTTTTTTTTTTTCTTTTTTTTTTTTTTTTTTTTTTTTTTTTTTTTTTTTTTTTTTTTGTACCAGGGCTCGAACTCAGGCCACTTAGGTAGGTTGCAGCCCCACTGAGCCCCGGCCCTCTCTGACAGCATTTATGAAACTCTCCCTGGTGAGAGGGAAGGCTTTCTGTTTGTTCATTTTGAAATCTGTTACAGACTGATGCTTTTGTAAAATAAAGTAAAATTGAATTTCTGGAAAAAAATAAATGAAAGAAAAGAAATAGAAAATATGTGCACAATTTTTACTTTGAGATTCAGCATTTGTAGACCAGTATGTCAAATTGCTATAAAAGTTTCTCAATGTGTACTCTCAGGTTTTTTTTTTCGTTTTTTTTTTTTTTTTTTTTTTTTTTTTATGGGAAACAACTATGAACTGCACTTTGAATAGTACTATGTCAGGATAGGGTTTTGGTGCTTCCTGCAACCCATCTAGCTTTTAAGTTAGATCCTCACAAGTGATAACCATAGGCACTTTCCTCCATGGTCCTGTCTACTTCCTTGCGCCCTGACATTTAATACCAAGGGCAATGAATAATATTAAAATAAAAATTTGAGGATCGAGGCACTAGTCTCGGCTCTCCTATATAAGGGACCAAAGCATTAAAGGGAATTATTTCACTACTGTGCCTCTATTTTCCTGTGTGACCAGGAAGAACAGCAGCAGCCTACTAGCCCTGTTTGCTCCACAGGGGAACTGTGGATTGCCATGTCTCTAACACAGGGCCAATATACAATTGCTACTGTGCTATTATACATCATGCGAAACTATGAGCTTTTTCAAAACAACCACATATAATAAGTAATGCTATCATCCTGATTTCACAGAAAAATGAACAGATGTATTGATCTTTAACAATTTTTCCAAGGAACAAATAATGTACAATTAATTTAAATTCAGCACAGTCTCACTCCATGGGCTGCATTCTAACCATTGTATCATCGTGTGTCTCTGTAATAAACACAATATTGTCATGTCCATGACTCTCTTGAAATAGAATATAAATTCCTATGAGTTATTGCCTTTCCTTAAGGCTATTTAGGATGACTAAGTGACTTGTAGGTTGGCCTTAAAAACATTCATATTTTAAAAATCAACTTTATTGAGTATAATAACTATAAGGAAATAGTTTGGTGAAAAAAAAATGTATATGTCATCCCAACACAATCAAGATATAGAGTATTGGGCCAGAGATTTAGCTCAGTGGTGCCGCCACCTGCCTCCCAAGCATAAGGTCCCCAGTTCCATCCCGGTACTCCCCTGCAAAAAAAAGATATAGAGTATTTCCATTATCATAAAAATTTTTCTTGTGCCTCTTTGTAGTCAGTGCCTCCCTTTCCACCTATACCCAGAGGTAAACATTGATCTGCTTTTTGTCAATGTAAAGTAATTTTACCTGTCTTAGAATTTCACATGCAGTGTAAATGAAATAATGAAGATTTCACTCTTTTGAGTTTGTCTTCTTTTATTCAGCATAATTTTTACGAGATTTAGGCATGATGTTGTGCATATCAGTGTTCTGTTTCTTTTTATCATCAAAGAGTATCCCCTTGTATGGAAATACCACAGTTCTAGATATTACCTTATTGCTGGAGGTTTGAATCTATTTGGTACCCGGGGTCAAACTCAGGACCTACCGGGCCAGGTGTGGTGGTGCACACCTGTAATCCCAGCACTTGGGAGGCTGAGGCAGGAGGATCGCTGTGAGTTCGAGAACAGCCTGGACTACATAGTGAGTTCCAGGTCAGTCTTAACTACATAGTGAGACCCTGTCTCAAAAAAAACCAACCAAACAAAAAACAAACATACTCAGGACCTTCCAATTTTGAAGCAGGCAGTGGCACCACTGAACTAAATCCCCAGACCAAAGGCAAAAAATTTACATTTTTTCCTAGTACCAGGGTTCGAACTCAGGACATTGTACTTCCAAGGCAGGCATGGTGACACTGAGCTGAGCTTAATCCCTGGTCCTGGTGTTGTTCTTGATTCCCATTGTAACTTAATGGGAAACTTAATGATGTTTAGAGCCACTGATGGAAAAAAAAAAAAAAGATATCATAAACATTTGGATACAAATATTTTTGTTCATACATATTTTTATTTCTTTTGGGAAATATTTAGGAATAGAACCACCGAGTCATATAGTGTACATTTAACTTCATGAGAAACTGCCAAACTATTTTCTGGAAGATATTTACCAGTTTTCACTTCTACTTAGCAATGCATTGGTCTCAGTTGCTCTACATACTTGTCAGTAGTTTTCAATTCAACTACTCTTACGGATATGTGGTGACTTTCATTTATATTTCTTTTGTGAAAAACTTTATTGAGCATTTTATCTTGTGCCATTCATGTATTTTAAAACTATTTTCAATACTTTACACATTTTACAATGTCTTTTAGAAATATTTTCTCCCAAATTGCAACTTGCCTCTTCATTTCATTAATGTCATCATTGGTAGAGCAGATTTTAGTTAAGATGAAGTCTAACTTATCAAAAAATATTTATTGTTAATGTATTTCTGAAATTCTTATCTACCCCAGAGTTGTGAGGATTTCCTTCTAATTTATAGTATTAGCTTTTACATTTAAGCCTGTCATCAAATGTCAAGTTGACTCTTGTAAGATCAGACAGGCTCATTTTTTTCCATATATGTATATTGAGTTGTCCAGCACCATTAAAACTTTTGTCTTCTTCCTGTCAAGTTAGCTGCTGTCTTTGACCACGTCACTGTGGGTCTATTTCTGGACTCCATTCTGTTTCATTGAACTATATTTCTCCTGGGCAGCACGTGAACCTGCAGTGATTATTGTAGCTTTATAAGTCATGAAATCAAATGGTCCTCCAATTTTATACTGCTTTTTAAAATATTAACTAAAACTCTTCCATACTCCAGTGTGTTACATTTCCATGTACATCTTCAAATAAGCTAGTCAATTCCTATAACGTACCTGTTGGGCATTTGGTTGGGGTTACATTTAATGTATAGGTCATTTGGGGGGAGAACCAACCTCTTAATAATAATACTGACTTGGGCCTGGGATTTAGCTCAGTGGTGCCACCACTTGCCTCGCAAACACAAGGTCCTGAGTTTGATTCCTGGTACCAAAAACAATTGAAAAAATAAAAAAAAAAAATACTGACTTTTCTAATGCATGAACCTAGGTTGTCTCTCCATTTTTTAAAGTTAACTTTAACTTTTTCAGAAATATTTTCCAGTGTTCAGGTGTTGCAATATTTTGTTAAATTTATCCTAAAATATTTCACATGACCATAATTGATATTTATTAAGTATCAATTTCCAAATGTCCACGATTAAAAGGTAGAAATATGGCCAGGTGTGGTGGTGGTACATGCCTGTAATCCCAGCACTTGGGAGGCTGAGGCACGAAGGATCGCTGTGAGTTCGAGACCAGCCTGGGCTACACAGTGAGTTCCAGGTCAGTCTCAACTACATAGTGAGAGCCTGTCTCAAAAAACAAAACAAAATAAAATAAAATTTAGAAATAATATTCGCGTTGATTTAGTGACCTGGTACCCTGTGACTCTGCCAAATGTCCATAATAGTTTTAGTTCCCCTTTGGTTAGTTCATTTTCCCAACATGTGATCGAATCACCTGTAAAGACCTTGCAGTCAGAGTCACTCACCTTTGTAGTTTTAATTCTGTAATAAGGTTTGTCCTTTCTCTTCATCTGTGAGGCTCTGTATTCGGCTGTAGACTGCATTGCTTTATTAATCCAAGATATTTGAAAACCTAAAACAGATACCTGAAAGCTTGGGTATGACACTCGATACACTGAATTGTAACTTTCTGCTTTCCTTGCTCTCTCTTTCACCTTACCACCATCTCCATATATTGGTCACCTTTGTGTCCTCAGAGCCTACAGTGCCTTACACTCAAAAGTTGTCTAATTAATATTTGTCAAGTAAAAGAATGATATTTTAAGACCATTTCAGAATGTATTTTATCCTATATTCTGAAGAAGTTACTGAAGGGCTGCTTTTCTTTCTTTTGCAACAACATTTTTATTAGAATAATATTATTTATGGGCAATGGAATACTACTCAGCCATAAAGAATGAGAAAGTAGATTCATTCATAGGTAAATGGGTTCATTTTGAAGATATACTCCTAAGTGAAATAAATAAGTCACACATATGCAAATTCCAAATAGTTTCTCTGGTGTGAAAAACTAAAATAGTACTCAAGATCCTAACGGGGCAATTAGCAATGTGAAATAGGAAGAAAAGGACCAAAGGTGTAGGGACAGTGAGAAGGATAGGGAAAGGGGAATAAGGGAAAAGGAAAAAAATATGAAAAAATATAAAAATGGAATTAAAGTGTTTGAAGGTGGGGAGGGGAGGAGGGGGTGAAGGGAGGGTAAGGACAAGGGGAAAAAATGAGAACCAAGACCTGGAATGTAAAGGTACAAGATCCCAGTAATGAATGTAACTGTACTGTCACCTAGAATGTACCAATAAATTCAACTAAAAAATATTATTTATGGGCACCATCGTTGGACTAAACTGTTTGTCATCTATTACATGGCTCTTCCTGAATATCATTTTTCTCACCCCTTTTCAAAAGTTGTGTCCACTATAGCAACCATTGAACAATCCCTGAACTGTGGCCATTGTCAGAAATGCCTCACAGAGTAACTCTGAGGTTTCATTTTGCTCACAGATCTGTTTTTTAGGCCTATAGTAAGGAACTACAAGACAGCAAAATGTATGGGAGTCCTAATAGTGTTTTTGATCTTAGATATTCACATATCCTAGAAATCTTTACTGTTCCTCAGTGAGGTAGTTTAGAAAATGAATATGAAATGCTTAGAGAGGGTGTCAGAGCAAGGCAGATGCTCCTAAATTAAAGTCCTAGATGAAATTTGGATCTAAGACCCCAGGAATTTTGAAGCTGTCATTGTTTGTCCATAATTGAAGTGGAGATAAAAAAAAAAAAGATTATGATAGGATGGTTGGATTGAGCATCCATTCTTTTAAAAGGGGTTATTTGGAAGGCAACCTCATGACAGTGACCTTGATGGATGTTAGATGAGTTTCATGTGAAATTCCTTAAGTAAAAATTTATTGGGTTAAAAAAACATCACTGAAACCATTAAAACCTTGCAGGTTTTTCTCAATCAAAAGCAGTGTTTGCCCCCTTTTCTTCATCCCTCATCTGAACACTTTGGCTGGGCAACTTTGGACAGTCATTTGCCTGTTCTTGGAACCAGCAGCTTTTCCAGCACAGCCAGTCCTAAAGTGTTGGTTCTGATGAACTACAACATGGGACCTCTGCTGTTGTCGCTGCCAGAGAGTTTAGAGGAGATGTGGGAACATGGGGTTCTTCCAGACTTAGATTAATTTCATCTGGTTTATAGCCAGCTTTCTAAAATTAACTGTGGATAAAGCTGAGAAGGATCTTAAAGACCTTTGATGGGACTATTCCACAAGGCCACCAGGTGGGTCTGTTTTTCCATGAAGGAAGATAATTTCCACTGAGATTGCCACCCTACCTGTAACAAAAGGGTTTGTTTGTCCTGAGCTAGTGCAATCCCTGCAGACCTTCACTGCTTATTGCAGAAAATCAAGTTTCTTATTTGTTATTATTTTGCTCAACTATTCTGAAGAATCCCCAGGGATCCTTATATGTGTCCAAGTGTGTATCACTGCCACTTAGTGATACTGGTGCTGTGCTGTGGCTTCGTATCCTCAGGCCACACACACTGGCAGAGGTATCTACTCTCCAGTTTTGCCATCACCTTCATGGTAAAGATGGAAGTGATATGAAATAGAGGGTGCCTCCTTTGGTTTCCCTACTCTTACCGAGAGCAGTGTCCCAAATCACAGTTATCTGGGTTTTAAACTGTTAGGACAGTTAATGATTTGTAAACTTTATAGTTAGTTTTTGTTATTAGTTCCTCTGAAATGATCAGCCCGGGAAAAAGGGATCAAGGTATTAATTCCTGACTTAAAAATACTACAACCACTTATGCATAAATAAATTTCTCCAATGCTGCATTTTTTATCATCAACACTTTTAATGACTTCTCATATGCTGCTAAAAGGTGACATTTCAATTTTCTAAATTATTTTCCAGTTATTGGCCATATGGGGTTTTGTCTTGCTTTTTGCTACTATATACACTGTTTCAGTGAATGATTAAACATTAAACTCTGATGTACATATTTAGTCTAGCCATAGACTAGAGTGTATAGGCCCAAGTATATTTGAGTATCTTTATGCTTCTTGAGATAAATCACCAAGTAGATAGAAAACAGGTCTCCTCACAGAGGAAGGTAACTTCCCACCCCTCCCAGTTATTACAATATAGGCATCACTGTACTCTGATACTTGAGAGATTGAGGACTAAAGATCAGAAGGTTACATTAGTGAGCAAATTAATAGACTAGAGGAAATACTAGTGGTACCTGGAGAATTTCAGTCAGGCTATGGTATGCAGATCAGACCGAGCTGTACTTTCAGAACCATCACTCATACTCTGCAGGAACTCAAGTGAGGGTACAAAGAAACAGACTTCAAGCTTTCTGTCTCTCTGGGAGGGTGGCTTCCTTGGCCTTCCTCTGCTGGGTCTCAGTCATGTGTCGCTTCCAGCATCCACCAGCTGAGGAGCAAAGTGTCAGAGGAACACAGTGTTCTCAAGAAGAAAGAGATGGAATCAGGGCCCAAAGCCTCCCATGGCTACGGAGGGCGCTTTGGAGTGGAAAGAGACCGAATGGACAAGGTGAGTTGAAGGGGAGAGGTTCGCTGTAAAAAGTGAATAAATGATAAACGGACTCATTGGTTTTATGGTTTAGAGCTCATTGAAAGTACAGTATTCATTTAGGATTTAAAATAGAATGTTGATATGCTATTTGTATCCATTTTTTAAAATCTCAGTGCATAAGTAAGTGATAGAAAATAGTCAAGATCTCACAGCAGGGGGCCCTCTGCAATCCTGGGCACATTAACTCCTAGACTGCGGGGTGGGGGCTGGGGAGCACAGGTGGAGAAGGGGAAATGCAGGCTTTAGAATCATTTGCTGCTTTTTAAATTGTATCATGTCTAAACCGGGCATGGTAGCGCACGCCTGTAATCCCAGCACTCAGAGGCTGAGGCAGGAGGATCACTGTGAGTTCGAGACCAGCCTGGGCAACATTGTGAGTTCCAGGTCAGTCTCAACTACATAGTGAGACCCTGTCTCAAAAAACAACAAAAAAAGTATCATGTCTATGTTGCTAGTTTGCCTGTTTTTTTAAAAACATGTATTTAGTGATTGTTTCGTATATGTACATATTATCCATTATATGTTGTGGAAAAGTTCAGAGTTCACCTCTAAACATTGATGACCATAAACAAGAAAAGAGCTAGGACAAAAACATGGCTGGTTTAGTAAAATATTCACTCCCAGTCATGGTCTCCATCCAGTCAGTCCCCTTGACTCTCCCTCAAACTGCTAATGTCTATTGGTGGCCTTGTTTTAGATCTGTCTTTGTTCAATCTGCCTGGGCTATTCCCTGGTCTATTTTGTATGCCCTCCCCCCATCCTCTGGGCATCTCTGAATGATGGCTCCCTAATGGCACTGAAGAAGAACCAGGGGTGTGCAGGGCTCCAGAAAAAGTCACCATGCCCGCCTGTCACATGTTACTTGGTACCACTGCCAGAGGCTACAGACCCCACCCAGAATGGAATTTTCTTGTATGCTAACACCCCGTGCATCTCTGCATCTATTTTTTTCCAAGGTTGGCTTTACCTTTTGCCTCACTCCATTCTTGCTTTTCCTCAGAGTGCTGTGGGCCACGAGTATGTTGCAGAGGTAGAGAAACACTCTTCGCAGACTGATGCTGCCAAAGGCTTTGGGGGGAAATATGGAGTTGAAAAGGACAGGGCAGATAAAGTAAGTGACACCTTTTCTTCCCAGACCATCCTCCTTAAATCCTGCAGGACTTTTCAATACTCACCCCTGAGGAGAGGTAGGCATGTGTTTTGGGGTAAAAGACAGTGGATACTGGAGACAGGCAGCATCACGAAGATAGTTCCTGTGACCTCTCTCAGCGAGTTCCCTGGTGTGAATGTTGGAGGCAGTGTGCTGAGCTGGAAGGCATTCATTTAAATGAGGGCACAGATGGGCCTGCCTCTCAGTGGGAGAGCACTTGTCCAGCAATGGGGAGGCCCTGGGTTCCATCTCTAGCCATACAAAATAGAAATAAAGGCAGAGATTTTCAAACTGTTTCAATAAGACCCCCTTAATTCATCAGTTCTTTATTATACATGCATGCATGAAATGAGAGGACAGAACTTCCAAAGTTCTTCTTCTGGTCTTACATCCAAACCTTATAAATAAATGTTCATGCCCTTCAGGAAAACAGAGAGGTCAGTTAAATATTAGTGCCATGGCAGCAAAAAGTCAACTAAGTCAATTAGGATTACAAAGTTTTAGAAGGTCAGTGTTACTTTTCAGAGGATTTAGTGTCAATCTCTAAAGTCCAGGTGTTTATAGACTCCTCTGTCCAAGAGTAGTTTTAAGCAGAAAACACAGTGCAGTAGGATTACAGCATGGTACAAAGGATGGGAGAGTGAGAGTGGATTTGCTGATGCTCGCAGTTCCACACTCATTAAATCAGACTCTTTGAGTTCATATTTCGGGGTGCAGTTTGGTGTCTCTTTGCCTGCAGCCACATGCTGAGAGAGGACATCTGCCTCACAGTTGGCTGTGAATGTTGTTTTTTAAAAATTAACTACCAACTGCTAATTTGGTGAGACTTAATCCATGAAGCTAAGTGCTAGAATTAATTGTTTGCATAGGTAGTGAGGGGAACCAAATCAAACCAGGAAAGTTGAAAAATATGCTGCAAAGGAAAGGATAATTCAGAAAGTAATTTTATATAAGTTCTTTTTTTTTTTTTTTTTTTTTGGTACAGGGGGTTGAACTCAGGCCCTTGAGCTTAGCAAGGCAGGCAGTCGAACCACTGAGCCAAATCCTCAGCAGAAAGTAACTTTAAAGTCACTAATAATATGCTACAAACTTAATCATCTATACAACTGAGTGTCCTGTAAGTCAAGAAGTTTCAGTACTCCTTAGCTCCCAAGATGCAAAACTCTAGACCTGCTTAGAGACCCATTGTTACTGAACCAATGAAAATGCAGCTTGGAGGTGAGGCTGGGTCTCTGGCCAGTTTCCTCCAGATTCTCCTGACTGCTCCCAACTCACCTAAATCTGCACATTTGTGTTTGCACTGCTGTGTAATGAAAGAAAATTGGCACAGGAAAATCAACTAGTAATACATGTATTCAGTCTGTAAAGTTTACAAGGCACTTTTTTGCCCATCATTTCAGTTTTGAAAGGATTACTTAAGAGGAAAAGCACTGGTTTAGTGAGGGACTCAATGCAGGTGAAATTCTATATATATAATGTGTTGTTCCTTTTAGTTGTCATATTATCCCAGATGAAGAGAGAGCATTTCTCTCTGACAAAGTTGATAAAGCAGATATGCTCCTCCTCATTTTCTATTTGAAAAGATCAGTGTTCAGAAACATTAAGGAACCTGCCTAAAGGTACACAACTATGAATGGGGAGGTGGAATTTGGATCTAGAACTGTCTACATCCACAGCCTGTGCTCCACACTCCGTAGCTCACTGCCTGACCCCAACATCAGGCCACTGTCTGTTTCCACATTAACCCCAGGCCCACCTTGGAGCCCCAGCACACCACCTTGGGGCTGGGGGTGGGAGTAAGGGTAAGTGGGGAGGGGGGATGTCAGCTCCAACTCTAACCAGTTCTCTGCCTTCTTCTCTATAGTCAGCTGTGGGCTTTGATTACAAAGGAGAAGTGGAAAAGCACGCATCTCAGAAAGGCAAGGAACTGCGTTTTGGCCTCACCACCCCCCTGGCCGCTGCCCTGCTCAGACACCACCTTCCGGCACCTCCCTCAGCCCCCCTGGCTTCCACTGCCCAGCTCCTACTCTTTTATTTCCAGTTGTGCTTGCCTTATTCTTTCTCCTGTGTTGCTTTCTATGAGATTGTCAAGTCCCTTTTTTCCTCTGATTAAAAATAAGCCGTGCCACTCCTTTATTCTCAATCATCCTTAAACTTCAACATGTATCTGTGGCTTAAATTTAAAACTAATTGTCATTTCCTCCTGAATAATATAGGAGACATCGAATTTTGTTTTTGTTTTGTTTTGTTTTTGAGACAGGGTCTCACTATGTAGTTGAGACTGACCTGGAACTCACTGTGTAGCTCAGGCTGGTCTCGAACTCACAGCAATCCTCCTGCCTCAGCCTCTGAGTGCTGGGATTACAGGCATGCGCCACCACACCCGGCCAACATCGAATATTTTAATTGCATTCTTTCTGCATTTTTCCATGTTATTGCTGTCTGGCATACTGGCCATATCTTGTTTCTAACCTGCCCCCCAATTATCAATTGTTACACAGTGAATGCCTATTTAAATTGACCAACAACTACCAGTTTTCCAGTTCATCACTGTTTATTGTATTTCTTTGTTTTCTCACTGCTTCTTCCATTTCCTTCTTGCTAGAGTGTATGGTTTGTTCATTCTTTTAGTGAGCATTTATGAAGGCAGTTCCAGTCTTTAAACAACGTCTTTATTTTGCACCATTCTCCACTGTTATTTTCTCTTGATCACTTTGGAGATATTCCATTTTTCGGGCATCTAGCGTGTCAATCTAATCATCCTTCTTGATAACATACCTTGTCTCTGTCTTTTCAAAGAATTATTAAAGGTCTTCATTTGGGCTCTGATATGTGTGTAGGTTTTAGGTGTATTCTATTATCCAGTATGAGACCTATTACTCTTTTCTTGCCTCTGACATGAACTTCTTATGGAAAATTCTCAGGCTTTTTCTCTTTGAATAGTTCCTTTCCTGTCTTAGGTTTTATTCTTCTCCCAAAACTCCTATTAGATGCATATTTGGTCTTTTCATTGTCTTCTCAATAGCTTTTAGTTTCTCTGCTTTATTTTCTTTCTATTTTTGGTACTGGGGATTGAACTTGGGACCCTGCACTTGCGAGACAGGTGGCAGAACTACTGAGCCAAATCCCCGGCCCTCTCTAATTTATTTCCCTAGCTCTCAGCGTGTGGATGCAGGAAAAGAGACACCAACCTGCACCCTGAAATATGAACTCAAAGAGTCTGATTTAATGAGTGTAGAACTGCGAGCATCAGTGAATCCACTCTCAGCATTTCACTATCTCTTTGTACTGTGCTCTGGGTCTATGATATTTTCACTAATTCTTTCCTCAATTATAGCTAATTATTGTTAAACTGCTCATTAAAATGTTAAGTTTCAGGTGCTTTCATTTCTTGAAGCTCATTTTGGTTCTATTGCAAATCTGTTGGTGATTTTTCCATAATGTCTCATTGTTTTCTTGATAAGACAGCATACCGTCTTTAAGCTTGTAATGATTTTAAACATATTAATTTTACAGTTTATTTCAAATATTATATCATTTGCAGTTCTTGGGGATTAATTCTGTTTAATTAGTCTGCTTTCCTTAGTAGTTATTTATGTTCTTATTTTTGTTTGTGAACTTATTTTTGTGGGAACAGGAATATTTGTTTCATAGGACTTTCATATACCCTGAGTTGGGTAAGAACCTTATATAAAGAGATTTGGCTTCTACTCCTGGCTTAGTTGTGCTAATAGTAATGGTCAAAAGTTTTTTTTTTCCTTATTGAGTTCACTTTCTTAAATACATATAGTTCTATTCAGACTTTCTGTTTCTTCTTGTCAATTTAGCATGTGCATTTCAAGAATTTTTTTACTTATGTTGTTTAATTTGTTGGCATAAACTTTCTTATATGATTCCTTCATTTCCTATTCAACCTCTGTAAGATTTAGGGCTGAAAGTTTCCAAATCTCACAATGAAATTTACCTCATCATCAAATGCTGAATAAACTACAAGTCTCTTCACCATTCCCTGGACAAGTGAAATAGTTTTCTAGAATTCTTTTCTAAGACTGGACAGAGCCTCATTTCTAGATTCCCACTTACCTGCCTCACCCATTATTGTACAGACATCAGAACCCTAGACTTTAGATCCTAATCCTTACTCAAGGCAGAATTCAAAGCACATTCCCCACGGTGTCACGTCACATTTACTGTCACATACTTGTCACATCTTGGTCTTTCTGGAGTCAAACTTTTCTTCTTTTCTTTTGCGTTTCACTATCTAAGAAATGGCTACATTTTTAGCTGACATTTCTCTATTATTAGGGGAAAGGTATATTTCATATATATGTATCTGTTCTTTTTTATGTTTTGCCAATCTCTTCCCACACTTTCCATACTTGTCCCTTCCTTGAAAGAAAAAAAAAAAAAAAAAAAAAAAAA